AGAAAGAAAAAATCAGATTCCAACCCTGAGATAACCCAGATGATAGGCATTATCATATCCTCCATGAGAATATAGAATGAATGGAAAGATAGAAGTTCTCAGCAAAGGAATAGAAACCAGAAAAATAACCAGTGGAAATCGTATCTGGCTGGCTCAATAAAAAAATAGAGATGACAGTTTCAAAAGAGTGAACTAGAAGAGTCGGTTAATTATCTAACCTGATAAGAGAAAAGATCCTCAGAAAAATAAGCAAAGCCCTGGCCAAGTAGCTCAGTTGGTTCGAGTGTCATCCCAATACTCCAAGGTTGTGGTTTTGATCCTGGTCAGGGCACATATAAGAATCAGCCAATGAATGCATAAATAAGTGGAACAACAAGCCTCTCTCTTCTCTCTTCTCTCTTTTCTCTTCTCTCTTCTCCTCTCTTCTCCTCTCCTCTCCTCTTCTCTCTCTTCCTCTCTCCCTCTCTCTCTCTCTCTCTCTCTCTCTCTCTCTCTCTCTCTCTCTCTCTCTCTCCCCCACCACCACCACCCCATCCTGCCTCCCTGCCTCCTTCCTCATCCCAGTTCCTCTCCCCTTTTTTTAAAATCAATAAAAAAGCTAGCTTCTTGTATTCCTATCAATGTTGTTCTAGAATAAGAGGAGAAAAAGACTGGTAGAGAAACTATTTGAAGCAATAATGGCCAGAACTTCCCAATTATTAAAATATATTTATAAATGTAAGAGTTTCATAAACTTAAAATAGGATAAGCTCAAAAAAAAACCACACTTAGACACATCATAATCAACTGCTTAAAAGCAAAGATAAAAGAAAAGTATTCCCAGCAGATACAGAAAAATCACACATTATAAACAGAGGAATAATTTTAATGACTGAAGATTTCTCATCAGAAATGAGAGAGGACAGAAGACAATGGAAAAACATCTTCAAAGTGTTAAAAAAAAAATCACTAACATAGAAATGTATATCCATTAATAACATCTTTCAGGAAAGGCAGGTAAATAATGCCGCTTTTAGACAAAGGAAAACTAAAAGAATCATTTTTAGCAGACCTGCTCCAAAAGAAATGCTAAAGGAAGTGCATCAGGCTGAAGGGAAATTATACTAGAAAGAAACGTGTAGTTTCACCAATTAAAGAACATTTACAGAAATGGCAACTATCATCGTAAATATAAAAGGTTATTTCCCCCAAGTTTTTGAAAGTGTGTTTAATTGTTGAAAGAAGAAATTATGCCACTGCTTGATAAAGTTTTCAGTATAAGTAGATATAATACATATCACGAGTATAACATAAGAATGGGAGAGGATAAAGGAGCCTATATGGTATTAAAGGTCTCTACATCTAAGTTGTATAATATAAATAGTAAATTGACTATGAAAGTTTAGGAATGTATAATGTCACCCTTGAACATTTAGCAGACAAGTTTTTCCCAAAGAGATAGAGCCAAAAAGCCGATAGAAAAATGAAAATGAAATACTAAAAAGTTAGATTCAAATTATTGAAGAGAAGAAAAAATCATTAAGTGGACTGTGTGGAATTTATTAAACTTGCAAAATAGCAGAGAGGATACACAGAAAACAAATAATACAATGGCATTTCTAAATCCAATCATATCAATAATTATACTAAATGTAAGTGATCTAACACACCCATATAAAGACATCAGAATTTTTCAAAGTAACAAGAACTAACTACTAGTAAATGCTGCCTACAAGGAACCCAATTTTAAAATATAAAGACTTGATAGATTAAAAGTAAAGGATGAAAAAGTACGTCATATATACAATCATCAAAATAAAGCCAAAAAGGATATCTTAATTTCAACCAATCTCCTTTTCTTGCCTGTCCTAAACTTTAATCCCTCTCTATTAACATAAGTACTTACAGTGCTTATTTCTTCATTCCTCATAATATCATTTCCAGAGTATTAATCTATATTTCTTGGTGATTTACAAAATATATCATCATATCCCTCCTTGCTTTTTTTATGAACTTACCATCTGAGAGAGACAACATTAATGCAAGACAGCAATTAATATACATTATATATAACATATTTAAAATATATGTTTGGAAAATATGTTAAGTTCCCTGTGTACAGAGATGATTTCATAGGCTTTAACAATGGCATGAGATTCTCACTAAAATTACAGTTTAGGTGGTTTAGAAAATTGTATTGGAGAAGAGCGAATTCATATGAGAAGCTTGAGAAAAAAACGTATTTTAAAAGCAACTAAATGTAGGTTTTGAGAAAGCATGTATAAAGCAAGCATAAGGCTGAACAGTACATAGATAAGCCTCTTAGAATTTTACTAGACTTATAAAGATTCACAGCAGAATTAAACAGATCATGCGTCTCACTGCCTCTTACACCATAAGGATGAAATAATGCTTTGGGGTTTATACCTAATAGATGTCCTTTTAATCAATTTTTTTATCTAAACATTATCACTAAGAAATTATAGCCTTACAGGCACCACTGCCCCTTCTTCAACAGTCACTTTTTTAAGGCGACAGGGAAAGGAGAGAGAGAGACAGATAGACAGAGGGGAGGATGGCAGAGAGGAGGGGAGAAGGACAAAGAGGAGGAGATAATTATGCAAACGGGTGAAAACTTCCACAATAGGAATTCATCAATTGTTCAAAACACATGGATCAAGATCTTCAATTCAAAAATTTCAGTTATAATTAAAACCAGGGGACAGATTGATTGTTTTAGGAGAAAGCATAAGATGACAACAGAGAAAAGTGAAGGCCTGAACCCAGTAGTACACCTGGACAATCATCATCCTCCACCTCACGTGTTTTCACATATATTCTGTGATTTGCTTAAAGAAAAACAAAACACTCAGCTCTACTGTACAAATGAGGCAGTAGACGAGACGAAAATATCTTACCAATATAGGCATCCCTCACATTTATGATGCAATTCATTTCTGGAAACCACAATAAAAAAAATCATTAAGTGGACTGTGTGGAATTTATTAAACTTGCAAGATGCCTACTTGCTCACTTGTTTATCTTCGTAAAGAAAAGGCATTCTCTTCCACTGTGAGTAATCATGAAGCAGTATTTCAGGCCCCAAGGCTGTGCCTGTGGGAAACAGCCTCTTTTACAGTCCCCTAAAGCTGAGGCCAGGCCAGCTACCAACCACTCTCCACTTGGCTGGAAATGCCAACCTATCAGGCCTTAAAAAGAGAAATTCTGAATAGAAAGACAGTAACTCTCCTTATCTGAAAACACACACACACACACACACACACACACACACACACAAACACACATACCTTGAAAAATAGGTGAGTATACATTCTCTGCCAAAATGTGATCAACAAGAAGTTAATTAAGCATTTTAGCTGTCAAGGAAGAATGCCTGGTTCAGGAAAATTTAGGATTATGTGTCTGCAAAAGGACCTAGCCCCTTACTGGTATGGTTAAAGTGGAGAGTTGTTCTCTCCTCTGCTTCTTTTTTTAATTGATTTCAGAGAGAAAGAGAGAGGGAGAGAGATAGATAGAAGTATCAATAATGAGAGAGAATCATTGATCGGCTGCCTCCTGCATGTCCCACACTGTGAATCAAGCTCACAACCTAGGCATATGCCCTGACCGAGAATCAAACCATGACTTCCCAGTTCATAGGTCGATGCTCAGCACCACTGAACCACACAGGCCAAGCTCTTCTCTGCTTCTTAATGTGTGTACAAAACCTAGTAAAACCAACAACATAACTGCTGTGTTAAACAACATATAGAATTTTCTCCTTATTGTGCTTTTCATATCTCTTTGCTTTGAACATAGTGACACAATATTTTGAATAGAGATATCTAGACCAGTGGTTCTCAAAGTGTGATCACTGAACCAGCAACATCAGCATTACCAGGGAATGTGTTAGAAACATAATTCTAATCCAGACCTACTAAATCAGAAATTTGGTGGGGGGGTAAGGAGGGAGGTCAATTTGTTCACACAAGTCCTCCAGGTGACTGATGCCCTGTGAAGTTTGAAAGCCATAATTCTAGAAGTCTTTAAATATGGACCTAAGTCTGACCTTCATTTCTCCAAATTGTCTGGAAGCAAAGATTCAGTAATCCTGGTTCAGGGTGCTCCTCATACTCATGACACTGGAGTGGCTGTAGAAGAGCCTCATCTTTTCATCTCTGTCTCTCTGCCATACAAGGAGAGGACACTCATGGGAGGGCACTAAGGCAGGAGGAAGACTCACACCTATCGCCAACTCTCAACCAACATATATAAATGTCTGTCTTCTCCGTGAAAGGAAGTCAAAGTCTCTCTCTCCAAAGGGGTGGCCTTTCTTGATAATCACAATATTTCCAATTTACAGTGGGTTTATATATATATATATATATATATATATATATATATATATATATATATATATAATTTAGCTGCCACAATAACCCTATGAGGCAGGTTCTGTACTCCCCTGAACAGTTTGCAAAGGAGGAAGCTGGAGCTCAGAGAACTCTGAGTAACCAGCTACCAGCCTAAGATCAGCCAACCAGCGAAGGTATAGAGCCTCCACTGTTCACACCAAAGAAACAGCTCTGTGTTCATGGGTGAACTGTTGAACCTGCATAGGCCTCGTTGCCACACCCATAAAACAGAAGGAAAAGTAGTGCCTACTGCACAGAGTTTGTGTGAGGATTAAATAAGATAATCCACATAAGGCTCAACAAAACAGTGCCTGGCATGTAGCACATTTACAATAAATATTAACCATAATGTATTGGCTATAATTACTGATCTGACACCACCACCACCATGCCAGCTATTAACAACAATGCAGCCACCACTACTGCTCCAGGAATTGGGCCTTTTTTAACTTATTACAATTTTCCTTTTCTCCTGCCTTCACACTTCTTACACTGTCCAGACAACAAACACTAGGTTGAGTGTTTATGCAATAGCCATGATTTCATCATCTATTGGGTTATGATAGACTTTACAATAAGAAAAAAGAAAAAACAAACACCTTCATATGTGAGCAGCTATTCCAAATATCAGACACTTTTATTCCTACTTCAATTTAAAGATCAGCTCTTCCAAAGATAAACAAAATAATTATGTCAAATGTACACAGCCTTCATCCCCTCGAGCTTCTTAAGATGCAAAGGAAAACAAAAGGCTTAAATAAAGCTGGCAAATCAGAAAGCTGGTTTCGGCTCCTTGCCACTAAATTGATCAAAGATAGTCTGATTTTTCCAGTTGTGTAAATGAAAAACAGAAACTCTCCTCTGAACACATCCTTCCAGATATATAGGCCTGATTGCAGCCCTTTGAAGTCGACACAGCTGAAATCAGATTTTTTTTTTGCATGAATTATGCATTACAGCAGAACAGAGAGACCACTCGGAATATGACTCATCATACAAAAGGGGAGCTGAAGGCACCACTTGCACTATGCACTTTCTGGGAAGCCGGCATTCCTGAATTAGGTGAGAGACCCATGGTGAGGGGTTACTGAAAGGTCCAGCCACAAAGCCTACTCAGCTAATTACTTCAACAACGGCACAGACTCACTCATTTGTGTTTTGGTGGCTTTATCCCACCAACTTCCAAGTCCACTGACCTAATCCACCCTAACTATTTAAATCTAGTGAGCAAATGAGTAGTTAACATTCATTTTCACTCATTTCAGTCAAGTCAACATAAAATCGGCAAAAGATTCAAGTCTAAATTTAAAACACTTAATTTTGTATCTAAAGCACAAGGATTCAAGTTTAAATGTTATAATTTATTTCAGCATTTATGTGCTCCAACTTTGAATTATATTATACAAATCCAAACTGTTCGTATCTATTGGAATTCGAAGGCCTGCATAACAGAATTTTTGAGTGCCTTTGAAGTGTTTTTAAGGATTCCTCTAAACTTATTCAAAAATTTTACCTAAATATATAATTTCCTAAAGGGAAATAATTCTACACTGAAACTACTTCTAAATCAAATGTATTCATCTTAGTACTATATCAAACTCATCAAGACCCAAGATAACAGACTTCATACTTATATATGAATGGCTTATTAGTGCAATAAGTAAATCCATATTTGGGGAAAATTACTGGTTTTTCAGGTTGGCCATGATTCCAACGTCATTCCTACTTAATTTATGTAACAGATTAAGCACTTATTTCTCTACGTTAAATTCAAAAGCAATTTTTGTACAGGATTATGAAGCAAAGCAATGCGAGTTGAAGAGCTGTCTGAAATTGTAAAGGTCAGCTTCGAACTTAGAGCTAAAGATGATGGCTCAGGAATTACTCAGAAATTATTTCATTCAGTCCATTCGACATTTACAGCTAGAAACCACAACCAGCTATAGTTGATCCCACTGGGCCAGGAAACGAAGAAACTTCTGAGCAAAGGCAAAAAAAAGAGTTGGTCCGTGGCAAAGCTGGCTCCCTGTTGATGGCTTGTAACTGCTTCTCTTTCAAACCTCAAGCTCTCAAGAGCAGCCCCCCACACACACACACACACCCGTAGGCACCTCTCAGAGTGGGGCTCAGGGGCTCAGCTTCTATGAGAATGATGTTTCATTCCTACACGCTTTTGCTACCTGTGAGACTAACCTTCTAACTACTTGCTTTTGGCTCATGATATATATGTGGTCCTTTCTCTTGCCTCTCTTTTGACATGGAACCCATACCCTCTGCAAGAATTCTATATAGGCATAAATGTGCCTGAGCACCTCTGGTTTCTCTGAGGGTTCCCACTTTTCCTTTTATTCTGACTTAGATAGATGTATATCTACTCTATTAAGAATGCCTCTCCCCAGTGCTAGCTTCTCACCCTAATTTTGCTGGCCCACAACCCAACATCACACAGCTACAGCTGTGTTTTTCAGTCAGGTGAGTATCTGTCTCTGAAAAAGCTCAGAGAGAGGAAAAGCTCAAAGGTGTTTTGGTTTCTTCAAGCTCATGCATCCTTCATCTTGCACTTGGCTGAGTTCCCAGGTATCAACTCTCAAGGCACATGGGTGGCTTTGGACATGCACCTAAGCAAATATACAGAGTGGGTCAAAAGTAGGTTTACAGTTATAAGGACACAAAACACAGTTCATTCTTGTATTATGAATGATTGCATTATTTTCCATAGGAACAACTGCAAACCTACTTTTGCCCCACCCTGTACTCTGAAAGAGGCAAATAAAGAACAGGGGACTAGGAGTTACCATAATATCTGTAACTCAGCTACTAAGTTCGCAACAGTATGTGATCCTGGTGACTCATTATCCCTCTAAGATCTGTTTTCTCAACTGTAAAGTTAAAGAGGTTTTGCAATCTCAAAGTTTTCTCCCAGCTATGAAATTCTATTACTCTTCTTTGCAAAGGTAATTATTAAATTAATTACCAAGCTAAAGATATTATCTACTGTTACTTTCTCATGTCATCTCTCTTCTCTATTAGTATGGACAAATGAAACTCAATTATGTACTACAAGGCAAAAACACTGGGGCAGATTCCCATATAAATTTCTATTCTAACAGCATGTCTGAGTAAGCAATTAATGTTCCTGTTGATTAAAGCACTCTGAAATACGCATCTATATTGAGGTTTAAAGAAGCAGTTTAAAGAGGCAGAACGCACTGGCTGAGTACCTACTATGGGGCAGGGATTTAGTTAAGCACTTTACTGCAATTAACTCTAATCTTCATTATCTGAAAAGTTAATGTGATCTTCATCTCCCAGGATCTAGGAGATTCTTTAGCTTATCCAGAATCACAGCTCCAATAAGTGGTGGTAGCTGAACTCAAATGCAAGAGCTGTGCTCTGGGCTGGCCCGCTGGTGAGGAGCTGAGCAAGCATTTAATATCTGTCTTAGGTAGAGGTCATCGCAACATGCAGCTGCCTATCACACCATATCCAGGCAGTAAAACTTCCTACTGCATTTAGCAGGTTTCGTTTACACAGTGCCCTTCTTGAAAGGTGGGAAGAAATGGAGTTCCCTAGGATGGCTTCAAATTTGCCATATGTGAGAAAAATGAAAATCTAAAAGGAAAAAAATACATATATATTTATGTATATGTATATATATAATATGTATATGTATATATACATATTTATATATGTATATGTATATAAATATATATAAATATACATTTGTATATTTATATATGTATATATACATATTTATGTATATATACATATATGTGCACATACACACACACACACACATATATATATATATGGAAAAGGTATAACTACTTCATACAGTTAAAAAAAATCTGTTATAAATAAAAACATGTTGAAGACCCTATCACTCTGAATAAGTAAATAAAAATGGAATGAATAAAAATGAAGCTTAAAATAAATGAAAAATATAGAAATCATTCATTTTAACTCAAGAGTTTTAAAACTGACTTCTAAAAATGAAGAGGAATTAGTACTACCAGATAATAAGAGATATTATAAAGTTGCAATAATAAAACAGCCAAATGCAAAGTAACTTTGATATATGACAGAAGTAGTATTTCAAAGTAGAGAGGAAAATATATAGATCATTTAATAAAGCATGTTAATTGGAGGAGAAGAGGGTAACTAAAGTTGAAGTTCTTCATATCTGACACCAAACTTAATTCAAGATGGATCAAAAATTCAAATATTGCCTAAACAGGTTTGGCTCAGTGGTAGAGCGTTGGTCTGCAGACTGAAAGGTCCCAGGTTCGATTCCGGTCAAGGGCATGTACATTGGTTGCGGGCACATCCCCGTTAGGGGGTGTGCAGGAGGCAGCTGGTCGATGTTTCTCTCTCATCGACGTTTCTAGCTCTCTATCTCTCTCTCTTCCTCCTCTCTGTAAAATATCAATAAAATATATTTTTTAAAAAATTCAAATATTAAAAAACAAACAAACATAAAATACAAGGAAAGAGTGAATGTGTTTATCTCTAAGGCCTCTTGAAACTCCAGTAAAATCACTATGAAGAATAAAGGAGGTAAACTTCCAAAAGAACAAAAGACAATGATGACAGATAAGAGGTATCTCCCAACATCTTGGAAGATGGAAAACAGAAGAGAGAGTGGTAAGACTGATCTACTCAAGAGCGGCCACCAAATCCTAACTGCCTGCCAATGTTGGACGTCAGAGAAGGATGCCCCACACTTCCTCATGTACAAGAGCCACCTGGCGGTCCTGAGCCTGTTGACACTGGTTCAGCAGTCTGGGGTGAGGACTGCAGTGAGGAATGGGGTGAGGACTGCGATGAAAAGTGGGGTGAGGACTGCAATGAAGACGGCAGTGAGCACTGAATGCTGCATTTCTAACAAGTTCCCTTGATGATGTGGGCAGAGGCTGCGGGTTTGGGGACCGGCCAAATGGTGAGCAGCGAGGCTCTGGAGTAGACAATGCCGCAAATGTTCATGAACTGTCAGTGTCAGATACATGTGGAGGTTGGGGAGCAGAAAGGCTGGTCCAATGTCTGTATAAGGAATAGGCAGAGCTCCTGATTTGGTGCTAGAAGCCAGCTGATTGCTCGCCCCAGCGCCAGCAGAGGAAGGGGGTTTAATGCCCAGAAAGACCAAGTTACACAGGGTCTGACCTTTGGGACATAAAGTACAGTGACCAAAACATGGGATTAGGACAGCCATTTTCAACGTTTTCATCTCATGGCAAGCATAAACAAATTACTAAAATTCTGTGGCACACCAAAAATTATATTATAGTAGAGGCCTGGTGCACAAAATTCATGCACAGATGGGTCCCTGGTTCTGGCTGACGATCAGAGCCAATCAGGGCCTTCCTTCATTCTGCACTGCCCCTGGTGGTCAGCGCACGTCATAGCAAGTGGACGAACTTCCGAGGGGACACTTTGCATATTAGCCTTTTATACAGAGATATTTTGCTGATCTGACAAGAAAAAACAGTTTTAATTTTTATTCATTCAACCCAGACAGCTATTGTGTTGGCTGTGGTCATTTTTTAACTTGACAATCTAAGGGAAAAGAGGTCAGTGCCCTAACTAAATAGTCAGGTATAGCACACTGGTTGAAAACCAAAGGACTGAGAGAAAATCTGCAAACCAAATAGGACCTTGAGCTCCATTTCACAGCTCAGCTCTCAGAATGTGGGCAGCAGGCTCACAGCCATCAGGGAGGTAGGAGGAGGGTTGCTGTCTATGGAACTGACTAGCTCAGGGAATGCACTCTGGAAGGGAAAACAGTGGTTACTTAAAACACATGTAAATTAAAACCTTCAACCCAGAAAAAAAATCATAATTAAAGTTAAAAGACAAAAAAAAACAGAAGAAAATATTTACAATATACATGAAAAGTACAGTGTAGCTCATTTATTTCTGTGTAGAGAACCTTTCTAAATCAACAAATACTCCCCAAAATGACACAAACATCAAGTAGGTCACAGAAAATTTCAAAGAAAATGGCTTTAAAACATGAAAATGTGATTAATTTCAGTTAAAAATAAAGATTAAAAAAAAGATGAGATTTTAAAAATATATATATATATTATTGATTTTTTACAGAGAGGAAGGGAGAGGGATAGAGAGTTGGAAACATCGATGAGAGAGAATCATCGATCAGCTGTCTCCTGCACACCCCGTACTGGGGATGTGCCCACAACCAAGGTACATGCCCTTGACTGGAATCAAACCTGGGACCTTTCAGTCCGCAGGCTGACGCTCTACCACTGAGCCAAACCGGTTTCGGCAAGATGACATTTTTTTAAATACTGAATTGGTAAACATTTGAAAGTTCAGTTACATATCACATTAGACTTTCCTTAGTGGAAATATATGTTAAAATTCGACATAATCACTGAAGTGAAAGAGTACAAAAGAGCGTAGTTTGTATTAAATAACATTAATAAAGAATATTCATATATGTTTGTATATGCAGTTTTAAAGTTCCAGAAAACAGTTGCAAATGGTCATCTTTGAGGGAGTTTGTTTTCATTAAACACCAGAATTTACTGTTTCCCAGTTTTTCCATAAGAGGCATCTATTGATATTTTTTCTTTATCAGTTTCCTTCCCATCAATGACAAGGGGCAAGATGATGTCAATAGGATGAAAGAGAGAGAGATCATTGTAGAGAAGAGCACAGTTAATGAAGTGGCAAAAGCAGAAATTCCTTTTTTCTGTCCAAGAATTGGTTTGGGGAGATGAGCTAACTAACATCTTTTGCTACTCTTTCTGTACCTGAGAAATAGGAATAGTAATAGTAAATACAAGTTGATTATAGTTTATAATTTTAACCCTGCCACATCAATTGGGACAATTTATCTAACATACTTATATGTCTCATTTATTTATGCTTTGCAAATCTTTGCCTTAATAGTAATAGTAAATACAAGTTGATTATAGTTTATAATTTTAACCCTGCCACATCAATTGGGACAATTTATCTAACATACTTATATGTCTCATTTATTTATGCTTTGCAAATCTTACCTTAAGGCAAAGATTTGCAAAGCACTTCTGTATATACACAGGGTGTACCAAAATACACAAGAGAAGAAAGAAACATCAATTGAGCTATCACTTAGCCAGCATGACAGTGAGTCAGGACTTGCATTATGAGAAGGTAACTACTCCAAATGTCTGATTTGGAGGCTTAAAGCCATCATGCTGCATAAATACTGCATATAATTGCCTACATGTTTTTCATTAAAGTGTCACTTCCCCTCCCCCCAATATATTTTCATTGATTTCAGAGAAGAACAGAAAGGGAGAGAGAGAGAAACATCAACGATGAGCCAAAATCGGTTTGGCTCAGTGGATAGAATGTCGGCCTGCAGACTGAAAGGTCCCAGGTTCGATTCAGGTCAAGAGCATGTACATTGGTTGCGGGCACATCCTCAGTGGAGGGTGTGCAGGAGGCAGCTGATCCATGATTCTCTCTCATCGATGTTTCTAACTCTTTCTCTTTCTCTCTCTGTAAAAAAAATAAACAAATAAATCAACGATGAGAGAGAATCACTAACTGGCTGCCTCCCTCATGTCCCACACCAGGGATTGAGCCCGCAACCCGGGCACGTGCCCCTGGGTGGAATCAAACCCTGGACGCTTCAGTTGGCAAGCTGATACTCTATTCACTGAGCCAAATTTGCTAGGGCTAAAGTATCACTTCTGTATATACACAGGGTGTACCAAAATACATAAGAGAAGAAAGAAACATCAATTGAGCTATCAACTATTAAAATGTGTATACATTTTTGGGGACACCTTATGTGTTGTATGTGTATATGTGTGAATATATTATTATGTTTTAATATATTAATATATTTATATATATAATACACATATGTATACACACACGTATATATATATTTTACTCATTAAATTTAAATTTATGAGCTCCCCTTTTACCTTACAATTTTACCAAATCCATAAACAATACATTTTCTATAGCTTTGAAGCTATACAATTTAGTAAGGTAAAAAACAAATGGAAAAAAATTTTTTCACAACATAAAATTCATTTTCAAAAAGTTACTTTTTAAAACCTTCCCTAGAATGTCTTAATTCTTAGACAATAGATGTATGCTTAAATAATAAAGCATGATGTGTCGTAATATCTGCAATTTACTTTGCCTGGTACATAAGAAAAAAAGAAAAAACCTGATAAAATACTAACAATCATAGAATTTTAGGTGGTGAGAATGAAAATGTTCATGGCACCATTTTTTAGCTTTTCTGTATATTTAAACATTTTCATAAAAGTGAAAAAAATTAATAGCTACCATTCTACAGGTATAAGAACATAACGTTTTCCTAAGCAGAAAGGCATGAGAAAAAAAGATGACTGAAAGAGAGTATGTAGTGGGCAGTCAGCTGTCCTTTATAGAAGAATATAAACTAGTTCCAGATTTAAAATCTTCTCTGGAGTTCCAGGTCTTAGTTACTTGTTGAACCTTGGTTACTTGTCACTTGGTGACTTGTTGATTGGAAATTTTCCTATTGTTGGAATAGCTGAATTCTAAGGTAACAACTTAGATAATAAGTTAT